CATTGTATACACACCGGTCTCAAACACAATGATATATATATAGAGCTATTGTCCCTGTTACTTTTATAACACCATTGTTATTGGAAATATATACATTATTTATAGTTGGGATGACAATACAATGGACCGTCAAACTTAAAATTTTTCTTATACAGTAAATTCGTTAATACGAGTACAACCAATGAATATCTCAATTCATGCTCTAAAAATATAATGACTAAAATTATATTTTGCAGGTTATGTGATGAAAAGAAATCGTGTATCAAATTTACTGCAAGCCTATACAATTTAAATGTAAATGGGTTATTGTAAATACGCACATTTTAATCTTCCTGATTCAGTTCACTATACTGATCATAATTGTTCATAGTTTGGGGACCTTCTGTTAAAAATGTGTCCGAGTTAAATCGTATACATGTACATATACATGCACAGTGCGTTAACTAGAGTGCAGGTATCAGTTACCCGCACTCTAGAGCATGCCCATTGATTGGTTCATTTTTGCTGGGGTTTACATATTGTGACGGCAGAGAAAAGGGAAAACGACAGAAATATATCATATTCAGATGCTCGATCATTGGTTACTTTTTTCCGGGGTTTCATTTTGCGACAACAGCTAGGGAACGTGTTTTTATGTTTGACGAAAGAACATCAAAACACTCAGTAATCTGATTAATACTCGGGGGCTACGACCCCTCGTACAAATCAGATAGCCTGTTGTTTCGATGCTCTTTCTATTATTTTTTGCAAGCTTCTAAAAAAATCTGAGGAAAACAACAACAACAAAAAATCTACATGAACTGCATGTATCAACACTTGGGTTAACAAAGTAGAAAATCAATGAATGTGTGCAATCTGCCCAATTGTAAATTGGTTTGAAAACAAATGGATAAACGTTAGATGCCGGGGTGGCTAAACAACCGGGAGACCGTTAATAAAGAATAAGAAAATGAACATCGTCATTATGGTGTGATAGTTCCACGTGTATCGCTTTTATGACAAATTTGACTTTTTCATTGCTCATGAAACCTACTTTCCAATAAGTATTGTATTAATTAGAAAAACACGCTCAAAACATGCTAAATTAAATTGGTCTGGCATTGCCATTGTTAAAATGGCGTATAAATATTAAGGATACGAATTAATGTATATTTAGAAGATTAATAATATTTTTAAACTAAAATTTTGCACACCTATGTGTGTGAATGTAAAACAATTAATTGAATAGTTCTATGTGGAAAAACTCAATATGATTAGTTTGGTTTGGTTTATACAAAATTTATTTTAGTTCGATTGTGTAGGAAGCTATATATAAGCTTACAGACACACTTTCGAATCTGTTCCTGGAACCAACCAGTACTGAGCAATGAGTGTAAAGTTTCTTGCCCAAGGAAACAACGACTTGCCCCTGACGGGGTTTGAACCCATGCGGTTAGCGATCATTGAAATTATAAATCATAAAATGATCAGTTTTATAATATTCTATTGCAAATATAAAATATACATCATTTTTACATCAATATATCTACACAATATACAAAAGGTTGGGCCAAAAGTTTTTGCAACATTATCGTTGGCCCTTTCCTGTAAGCATCAGTTTCAAAAAGGACGCGCTTGTTGCAAGTTATAAGCTTTACAAATCAACATTAAAGAGCAAATATGCATTAAGTACATTAATTTATACTTATACATTTTTGTTTTCAAAGATGAGCAAAACGTTTGAAGAGAAAAGAAAAGCTGCTGTTCTATCCAACAGTTGTGTGCCACATGACACTAGCCACTAACCAATCCATAATACCAATTGTGAAGCAGATACCCATTTGTAAGTATTGATAAAAACACAACACACGCACGCACACATACTAGCACGCACGCACGTACGCACGCACGCTTGTTATAATAAATGAAAAGAAATTAAGTAACCATCTTTGTCTCCTTGATCTGGGACTTAAAATGATAGTAAGTCCCTGCCTTGATATAATTTTGAACATGCTGAAATAAGCACTTTGAAGGATGCCAAAGAGTAGCAGTTTAATAAAAAAAAATAAAAAAATGTCAAAAAACAACAATTTTTCACCAAAATTATGTGTAAGGGCACGTGTCTACATGGAAAAACTAGTTTTTGGGTAATTCCAAGGTTTTTCATCATTTTTTGTTAACCTTATCCCTTATATAAGCGTGTTTTCACGGCTTTTTGCCTTCTCCTTTTTTTTGAGGCCTCAAACAGTGAAAAAATGCCCTATTTAAGCCCCAAACACTGTTTTTCGTTTAAGAAATGTTGTTAAAAAAGGTGACCACTTTTTCGGCGTCGTCCCTCATCCAAATGTTACATCAGGGGGTTGCCAGATATTTCATAGATTCAGAAAATTAAAAAAAGTGAAAATCAAAAATTTTTGCATTCCATGACACATATAATATATACATGTATATCAAATGAACACTAAAGTGATATCTGAATTAACAATGAAATATACTATGCAATCAGTCTAAAGGTAAGACAAATCATCAACTTGAACAGATATAATTATGACTTATTTCAGACCAATGAAAATATAGAATTAAATGAACACAGATCAAAAAACGCCCAACCCATGCCAAAAATAAAGCAAAAGCAAACAAAACAAAATGATTTACAAACTTACATACAAAGTCATCAAAATTCTGTAGACCTATCGAAAGAAAACGGTAAACATATATACATGTGGATATACTAAGAATTCAATATATAAATTAAGCAAATATATAAATTAAGTTAACACAAAATACATATGTACATTATACAAAAGCAATTGAATATAAATTATAGCACAAAGAGAAAACCAGAGTAATTCACCCTTTCAGGTCCTTACCACAGGTTCTCGAGACTCTGAGAAGTTAATTCCTTCTCAAGAAATCAAGCCATACAGGTAACATGACTACTGTTACACAGCACTAGAACCAATGAAATATGATTACTATTTCGAGAGGTTGTCATCAACACAATTTACAAAGGAAACATATTCTAGAAAACATTTGTAAATATATAATTCTACAAACTCGAACTATATTTCCGTGAACACCAATCACAAAATAACATCCTACTATGAAAAATAAATATATTACATAGCAAATTTACCCTTAAGAACATGATACACTGTATTAATAAAAACAGATTTGAGCACAGCATCTCCTTCAGAATTAAGATGTAAACCTTTATCCCTAACTGCAAATAATTCTCACCTAGGGAGACCAAACATATAAAAAGGTCTGTAGGAAGCTACAAATTGACATTTTTTGCGTTTGCAAAGCTCCTGTAAACCCTTATTGACCTTCTTGAAAAAAGATCTGTATCAACCAATATGTGTCTAAGAACTGTAAAATCATGAGGATTTTCATTGGTCATTTTAAAATTACAAACTGAAGTCGGTGAATCTCATTGGTCATTCTGAAATAAAATGTAAAGGACAGTTCTAACCATTCTAAAATTAAATGTAAAGGTTTTTTTCTTATCATTCTAAAATAAGATTTTAAGGATAGTTCTAAGATAAAATGTAAGGGATAGTTTTGCCACTATAAAATAAAATGTTGAGGATTGTTCTTAAATAAAATGTACAGAAATGAGTTTAGTTCTTAAACTTATTGGTTAATTTGTAAATTTAAACGTAAAACAAGCAAAAGGGACACCTTAAATAAAAGTTGTACTACTTTGAAAAAACATCAATATCAATATGCTATAATTTTATTTCAATGTTTACAAAATGGGTATTTTCGTGGCTACAAGAAATGATTATTATGTCATTATTATGCAAGCATTGCTAGCACTATTTTTGTACTGGAAAACAAGCAAAAGGGACACCTTAAGTAAAAGTTGTACTGCTTTGAAAAATCATCAATATCAATATGCTATAATTTAATTTCAATGTTTACAAAATGGGTATTTTCGTGGCTACAAGAAATGATTATTGTGTCATTATTATGCAAGCATTGCTAGCACTATTTTTGTATTTAAAACCTGTTCTAAATTTACAAATTGACATTTTTTGCGTTTGCAAAGCTCCTGTAAACCCTTATTGACCTCCTTGAAAAAAGATCTGTATCAACCAATATGTGTCTAAGAACTGTTAAATCATGAGGATTTTCATTGTCATTTTAAAATTAACAAACTGAAGTCGGTGAATCTCATTGGTCATTCTGAAATAAAATGTAAAGGACAGTTCTAACCATTCTAAAATTAAATGTAAAAGGTTTTTTTCTTATCATTCTAAAATAAGATTTTAAGGATAGTTCTAAGATAAAATGTAAGGGATAGTTTTGCCACTATAAAATAAAATGTTGAGGATTGTTCTTAAATAAAATGTACAGAAATGAGTTTAGTTCTTAAACTTATTGGTTAATTTGTAAATTTAAACGTAAAACAAGCAAAAGGGACACCTTAAATAAAAGTTGTACTACTTTGAAAAATCATCAATATCAATATGCTATAATTTTATTTCAATGTTTACAAAATGGGTATTTTCGTGGCTACAAGAAATGATTATTATGTCATTATTATGCAAGCATTGCTAGCACTATTTTTGTACTGGAAAACAAGCAAAAGGGACACCTTAAGTAAAAGTTGTACTGCTTTGAAAAATCATCAATATCAATATGCTATAATTTAATTTCAATGTTTACAAAATGGGTATTTTCGTGGCTACAAGAAATGATTATTATGTCATTATTATGCAAGCATTGCTAGCACTATTTTTGTATTGAAAACCTGTTCTAAATTTAGTAATCGATGAAATTCTATTCTGATACATGTATCTGATTTATAAAGCAATATTTAATTTTCCTGAAAAAGTGTTATCTCTGAAGATCCCCACAAAAAAAGCTTGATTTTTTTGCAAATCAGCAATTTTTTTACACTTTGAATATCTACTGTACCATTCAATTATAGCAAAATACAATCGATTTTAGTTTTATAAAACATCCTGACCTTTTATAGTATATATATAGTATATATATATTATAGTATGGGGGGCAGGTTTTATACAGAAAATAATGAAGGAAAATATTTAGTGGTGTTGAATCAAAAGTTATCAAAAAATTTGACTTCCGCTTCCTTTCTACGCGGAGTTTTCCCAAGTGGATACATCATTGTAAGTGGGCCTGCTTAAATCTTCTTTAATCGTCGAATTTATTGAATGACAGCAAATTGTACTGTTTTTAATTGACATGAAAAACGTTTATTTTAACTTTTCGTTGCAGAAGGACGTCCGTTTCTCAACATGGCTGGTTCAGATACGGAAGGGTAAGTTGAAATATTGTAAAATATTGCATAGGAAAATTATAGATCATTTGCTACCACGGAACAGTAAAATTTATAGTTCTGGCTTCCACAACTTTATATGTCGCTTTTATTTTGACGTGGCGACTTTAAAGTTATGGGTCAACCCTACAGTATTTGCAAAGGCTACCTTGGGAACGGGAATTAGTCAACCCGGCCCCATGTACAACCCGGTCTCAAGTCAATCCGGCCCCAAAATTGATTTTCAGAGAATATTTTATTAAATTGAATTGAATTTATATTACATCCGTGCTTACTCTGTGTGTTTTATTTTTTCACATGTACCTCTACAAAGAGCTGTCCGCAACACAGATATAGATCCGAAATCGAGAGAATAGAGAAACGTTTTGATATTATTAATATAGCACATCAATTTTTCTTATTGTCTTTCTATCTTTTTTCTATTCAGGAAATGAATCATTATCAAGATAAACAGCACAAGAGAATTTATTCAAATATTTTTTATTTAAATCGTCACCTTTTCTTTAAATAAGTTGTAAATTAAACAATAAAGCACATTAGTTAACTAGTTTTGATGACAACGGCTAATGTGATTTTAGATGTAACAAATCTTTTTTTTTTAACTTGCAATAATAATTATTCACATTATTTCTTGAGTAGAAAAAAGTAAATGAAGAAAAATTAGTGGCAAATAACTAATTATAAAAATACAGCGATTTTTTCCCCCTATATAAGTGGTACCCAATAAGGGACACAATCACAAAAGCACCTTCACAATTTTCAGACCCATTCACAATTCTGATGAAATTTCACAATTTCGATTAATTAAGCCTTTAATAATGTATTATCAGGTCTAGGATTTCATGATATTTATGGACTGTCCGTAAATTTACAGACAGTCTTGAAATTTAAAGATTTTTCAATCCATAAATTTACAGATATTCAATGTGTAATTTGCTGTTTTTAGTTTTACAATAAAATCCGCAGCTTAAGACAAGTTGTTTTATTGCTTGTTTATATTTACAAAGGTAATGGGGTGGGTTTCATCTTTGTATGATGATTTTGAAATTTTTGTTAAAAGTGAAAATTTAAAGTCATCAAACTGTTCTGAATCTTAGCATACTATTACATTTAATCATATAATACCTAACCTTATTCATTTTAACCTGCGGTTTTAAATTTTAATGCAACTTCTACTATTTTCTTACTTAATGTCTGTAAATTTACAGACAAGAAAATCTGTAAAATTATGGATTGTCCAAAAATTTACAGACAGTCCGTAAATACCATGAAATCCTAGACCTGATTATTTCCTCTCTTAACATAATGATGCTAAAATTTTGCCTGTTGTGCTTTGTTTATCTTGAAATGCGTTTAGCCGACCATGATTTCTGTTGCATTCTTAAAATTTTCCTTTTGTTTAAATACGAAACTTCTAGGGACGAGTCAATACCTAAACAAGCGTCTGGCAATTTCTGTAAACATCATTCAAAATGTCTCGTAACAGTAAAGCTTTAGATATTAAATACAGTTAAGTCAGTCACAAATTATATGTTCTTACTGCTTAATAAGACATTCACAATCTAAAGTAAAAAATCGCTGAAATAGGGCTGGGTTGACCAGATATCAGATTGAATTTGGGCCGGATTGACTATTTTGGGGCCCGATTCACTTGGGGCTGGGTTGACTTAGGGCCGGATTGACTTGTACCGGAATTTGGCAGTTTGTGTGCAGTACATAAAAACCTATTAAAATCACTGTTATTAATCAAATTTGGGTCAAATAAAAATAACATTTGATAAACAAATCCATTTTGAATCAATTCATGTTTGTTTTAAAATGAAACTTCATTTCATTGATGAAAACAAAGTAGTTTAAATGACATGAGGTATAAAAACTTACTGCCAGTAGGTTCCAACTGAAGTGTAAAACTGATTGTCTTAAAATTATATATTGCTTTGTCAATATCTCTTTTGCCAACGTAATGACAGAACTTCAAAGTAATGATACCTTGGTGAAATTGAATAATTAAATATTTACTTTTGTTTGCAGAGATGAAATTTCCACTGGGGCGGGAGCCATGGATACCATGACCGCCCTTCAAGAAGTCCTCAAAACTGCACTGATCCATGATGGTCTAGCACGTGGATTACATGAGTGTGCCAAGGCACTTGATAAGTATGTGTAATTGTAACTAAAAAAATATTTTTATGGTATGTCCAATTTAGGAAACATGGAATTTTAGATATTAAAATGGTTAAAAAAGAATAGAGGGTTAAAATAGGACTATCATGTTTTCACAAATAGAGGAAGGGCTGTTCGAACATTATAATTTTGAAAATTGGAAAGAGAAAAATTCTTGTAAATTGGACATAAAGTTTTAGCAGTTGAAAGCCATCCTTGCGTGGCCCTTGCAGTAGGGAAAACAGGCCTGTCAAAGAACATTGTTCAGTAATTGACCAAGGTGAACAATTCTTTAGAGTGATGAAAGTACAAAGGAATTTGCTTAAGCTTATCCTGAACGGAAGATTCCTCACAATGAACCTTCAGGTTTGACATATTCTGCTTGTCGTCTTCTTTCAAGCATTTACATTGAGAGTGATTTGAAGAGTTTCATAAAATTTTTGTTTAATTTTGCAGACGTCAAGCTCATTTATGTGTACTTGCGAGCAATTGTGATGAAGCTATGTATTCAAAGTTGGTTGAAGCTCTTTGTGCTGAACATGGTATTAACCTCATTAAGGTAAGTATTGCAGCTGGTCTTGCTTATTTGTTTCCATTCTTATCTCAGTTAATGTTTTATATTCTATAGGACAATTTTACCCACCTTGTATCTGCTTAAACTAAATATATTAAGATATTCACTTGAAATTATCAGTTTTCATGGTCTTCATTATAGGTCACTGATCAATAACTTTAACTGGAGCATGAATTTTGAGTTAAGTTTACCGGACACATTTGTGAGCTTAGAAAACTTTGTTTGAAGGTTTTAAATGCAATTTACTATCTCCACATCCTACTGAAAGTGTAATTTGTAATCTTTTCTGGATTTTCTTGATCATTACCGACATCTGAAACTTGTATTAAAGCTAGTGGAAAAGTAGAAAAAATAATGTTTTATCACACACATAAATACTGTTGTACCTTGTTCCATTTGGTTTAACATGGATTTTATACATTAAGAATTTTAAGTGATGGAATTTCTAAACAGGTTGATGACAATAAGAAACTTGGTGAATGGGTTGGCCTGTGCAAAATTGACAAGGAAGGAAAAGCCAGGAAAGTTGTTGGCTGTAGCTGTGTTGTTGTTAAGGTGAGTAATTTAATCACACCACTTCTTCAATTGTATTGAAGATAAAGGTTTAAGTGTACTTCAGCAGTATTAAAATTTTGTTTAAACGTAAAAACAACATGTTGTCAATTTATAGTGTTCCAAATTAAAAAGGGTTTTCATTGCAAAGTTAATACAGTTGCTGTTTTGAATCACATTTGTGGATTTGAACCTGTTGGGAACTTTGGATGCTTTCATGGGAGGAAGCTTTGGGTGTCTTGCAGATTGGTTAAGGTTGTTAACTTCAACCACTTGACATTCACCAGTGGATTTAAAATCGGAGAGGGACTCTGGGTTCTGTCTTGTGAGGAAGCTGTCTAGCTAGCTTAAGAAACGTTAGTGGTTCTACTCAGGTGTGTCTGAAATAATGCAGGTAAGGGTACCTGAGGTCTTCCTTCACTAATAAAGCTTGAAAGTCACCATTTGACCTATACTATGTTGGACCGGGTGACATAAAACCCAACAAAAAGAATGTGAGGAACTTAATGATTTTTTTTGTGTGCGTGTAATTTTCAATAAAATTTGGGCCAGCTTTAAAAAAAACCATGTTTCAAAGTTAAGTGTAAACAACTTTCCTTTTGCTTGGTTATAACATTTTGTTGGCAGCAGCTATTATTGTGAATATGACGTGAAAGTATAGTTAATCTCTTATTTTAGGCCTTGAAGTAATCTTATTCAAACACACAAAAAAACAGAGTGCGTCATAGGCACCTATTTAACCCAATTTTCAATTTCATTCCTATTAAGCAAGCTACAGTGCTGGGGTAATTTTTGATAAAAGATGGCTGTCAGTCTTTCAGTTCATTAAATTTATCAACAAGCTGATTTAAGTGACAATGTGTAAAGTGGAAACTGCCTGGATGAACAGCCTGCTGCCCCCCTCCCCATTGAAGTCACCATATGACTTAACAGTGTTGTATCTTGCAAAATAAACTACAGTTAACAATGATGATAAAGAAACAACTCATGCTTCCTCATCTGAAAGTAGTGTTGAGATTTGTTTATAAACCTATCTGAATGTTAACTGTATATACCAATCTAGTATTGAGTGTTTTCCAAGATTTTATTAATAATTGTAATACTTTTTTTCCAAGATTTCATTTATAATTGTAATACTTTTTGACATTACTGAGAAAATACATTTTTTTCAATATTTCCTAAACTTCTAGAGGGAATGTGCTGAAACTTCACACACATATTTTCTCTTTCTGTGAATTATCTATTATGATGTACACAGGTCCAATAACTCGGTTATCTTTTTACATGGTTACCTCATTTATTATTGCCAAACACTGAGAATAGTCGTGCACTGTGTCTTGAGGACGACTCTGTTTATCCGAGTTCTAAACATTCTATTAATTGTAGTTCAGCAAAAACACTCACACTATTGAGTTATATAATTGGAACCATTTTTAGAAATGTCTGGGGGAAAAAACATCCTTCCTATAGTGGTCAATAAACACATTGGTATATTAGGTTCTTCTTGTAAGGCACATGACAAATATTGTCATTGCTGCTAGTCCATAGAAAAATTCAAATGAATGAAAATGACCAAATCGTTTGGCCTTTCTCAATGTTTAAATGATAAATTATAATGAAATTGACAAATGTGTATTATAGTGACATGCTAATTTTGAGCTGTTTTGAAATGTACGTGTTTAAACATTAATATATTAACCAATGATGAAAAGCAAACAACTCATGCTTCCTCGTCTGAAAGTAGTGTTGACAATTTGTTCTAACTTTTCTGATGGTCAATATGTTTCTTGCCGCTTCTAACATAGTACCTATGTATCATGCCATGATCTTGTCTGGTTTTGAGTCCACAGAAATTGAGTTGTGTAAGAATTTAGAGGTTTTAAAGTGGGAGTCTTCATTGTTACGAATCTGTCCAGTTATCAGTCTGTGATATTGGGGTTTAAAAATTAATGTCATCATTCGGGCAACCAGTTAAAAAAAATCTGGTTGTCCGAAGTAAAAACTGGTTGCCAGAATCTTTTCATCAGAACATCTCCAAGCAATTATTGATCAAATCTGCAAACTTATCTTCAGTGAGAAACAGTCATAAATTTAAGCAAACTTATTGTTTTTGATATCTTTCATTTTATCACTATTCGTGTCATTTTGATTAATACTTTCTGCAAATTTTTACTTGTCAATTGGGCAAGTAATTAACTTTAAAAAAAAATGGTTGTCCGGACCAAAAAATGATTGTCTGGGGCAATAGGACAACTCAGAGCAACAGATAAGCTTTAAAAGTGAATTGGGTATTACTCCATCATTTCCTTTGGAATCTAATTGGGTATTGGCTCAATTTAATTGGGTATTCCAAAACTCGATACCCTATGATTTCAAGATCAATTGGGTATTCAATTATGAAGATATGAATTTTATGGTTTCAATATCAATAAAATTTAAACGGTTTTAAAAAGAAAATAGGATTAACAATTTACTAGAATTTTTCACAATTGTTCTATTTTTAGCTCGACTATTCGCAGAATAATCGAGCTAATGCAGTCACCCATTTGTCGGCGTCAGCGTCCCTGTGGTTAAGTTTTTGTATGTAAGCTGTTATCTCCATAACTACTGAAGGGAATGGATTGAAACTTCACACACTTGTTCTCTATGATTATCTAAGATGATTGGCACAAGTCCCATAACTCTGATTTGCTTTTTTTTATAATTATGCCCCTTTTTCGACTTAGAAATTCTTGGTTAAGTTTTTGTATGTAAGCTGGTATCTCCATAACTACTGAAGGGAATGGATTGAAACTTCACACACTTGTTCTCTGTGATTATCTAAGATGATTGGCACAAGTCCCATAACTCTGATTTGCTTTTTGTGCCCCCACGTTAGTGGCGGGCATTTAGATTTACCCTTGTCCGTCCTTCCGTCCGTCCGTCTGTCCGTCCTTCCGTCCGTCCGTCCGTTCACTTTTGTGTCGCACGTAACTCAAAAAGTATTTGACCTAGAGTCATGAAACTTTACAGGAATGTTGATCAGCATGTGTAGTTGTGCACCTGGGTATTTTGGTCTGGATATTTTTAGTATTTTCAGAGTTATTGCCCTTGACTTAGTAAAATTTGGCAATTTTCAACTTGTGTCGCATGTAACTCCAAAAGTATTTGACCTAGAGTCATGAAACTTTACAGGAATGTTGATCAGCATGTGTAGTTGTGCACCTGGGTATTTTCGTGTGGATATTTTTAGTATTTTCAGAGTTATTGCCCTTGATTTAGTAAAATTTGGCAATTTTCAACTTGTGTCGCATGTTACTCCAAATGTATTTGACCTACAGTCATGAAACTTTACAGGAATGTTGATCAGCATGTGTAGTTGTGCACCTGGGTATTTTGGTCTGGATATTTTTAGTATTTTCAGAGTTATTGCCCTTGACTTAGTAAAATTTTGCAATTTTCAACTTGTGTCGCATGTAACTCAAAAAGTATTTGACCTAGAGTCATGAAACTTTAAAGGAATGTTGATCAGCATGTGTAGTTGTGCACCTGGGTATTTTTCGTCTGGATATTTTTAGTATTTTCAGAGTTATTGCCCTTGATTGATTAACATTTGGCAATTTTCAATTTGTATCACACATAGCTGAAAATGTATTTGACCTAGAATCATGAAACTTTGCGGAAGTGTTGGTCAGCATTTGTGGTTTTGCACCTGGGGGTTTTGTTGTGGATATTTTTAGTATTTTCAGAGTTATTGCCCTTGATTTAGTAAAATTTGGCAATTTTCAACTTGTGTCGCATGTAACTCCAAAAGTATTTGACTACAGTCATGAAACTTTACAGGAATGTTGATCAGCATGTGTAGTTGTGCACCTGGGTATTTTGGTCTGGATATTTTTTAGTATTTTCAGAGTTTATTGCCCTTGACTTAGTAAAATTTTGCAATTTTCAACTTGTGTCGCATGTAACTCAAAAAGTATTTGACCTAGAGTCATGAAACTTTACAGGAATGTTGATCAGCATGTGTAGTTGTGCACCTGGGTATTTTCGTCTGGATATTTTTAGTATTTTCAGAGTTATTGCCCTTGACTTAGTAAAATTTTGGCAATTTTCAACTTGTGTCGCACATAACTCAAAAAGTATTTGACGTAGAGTCATGTAACTTTACAGGAATATTGATCAGCATGTGCAGTTGTGCACCAGGTATTTTCGTCTGGATTTATTTAGTATTTTTAGAGTTATTGCCCTTCACGTAGAAAATTTTTGCAATTTTCAACTTGTGTCGCAAGTTTCTCAAAAAGGATTTGACATAGTCAATAAACCTTATAGGCAGGTTGCTCAGCATATTTTAGATTTGCACCTGGGGTTTGGCTTGTGGATTTATCCAGTATTTGTAGAGTTATTTCCCTTGACTTAGTAAAAAGATTGACAGAACAGTGTCGCGGTGGGGGCACCCGTGTCCTATGGACACATTTCTAGTTTTCATAATTATGCCCCTTTTTTGACTTAGAAATTCTTGGTTAAGTTTTTGTATGTAAGCTGGTATCTCCATAACTACTGAAGGGAATGGATTGAAACTTCACACACTTGTTCTCTGTGATTATCTAAGATGATTGGCACAAGTCCCATAACTCTGATTTGCTTTTTTACATAATTATGCCCCTTTTTCGACTTAGAAATTCTTGGTCAAGTTTTTGCATGTAAGCTGGTATCTCCATAACTACTGAAGGGAATGGATTGAAACTTCACACACTTGTTCTCTGTGATTATCTTAGATAATTGCCACAAGTCCCATAACTCTGATTTGCTTTTTTACATAATTATGCCCCTTTTTCGACTTAGAAATTCTTGGTTAAGTTTTTGCATGTAAGCTGGTATCTCCATAACTACTGAAGGGAATGTATTGAAACTTCACACACTTGTTCTCTGTGATTATCTAAGATGATTGGCACAAGTCCCATAACTCTGATTTGCTGTTTAACATAATTATGCCCCTTTTTCGACTTAGAAATTCTTGGTTAAGTTTTTGCGTGTAAGCTGGTATCTCCATAACTACTGAAGGGAATGGATTGAAACTTCACACACTTGGTCTCTGTGATTATCTAAGATGATTGGTACAAGTCCCATAACTCTGATTTGCTTTTTTGCATAATTATGCCCCTTTTTCGACTCATGAATTCTTGGTTAAGTTTTTGCATGTAAGCTTGTCTCTCCATAACTACTGAAGGGAATGTATTGAAACTTGAAGAGTTTGTACCTTTTCGGACAATTTTATGTATTCATATAGGTAAGCATTATTATAGTAGATGAAACACCCTTGTGACAAATTTTCGAATAGTCGAGCTTTACTGTCCTCCGACAGTTCTTGTTATATAAAATGCTCATGTTATATTTCATAATTAATATTTTTAACAAATTCGTTTTCTGACTGATTTTTTATTATTTACAACTGTTTTGTTTCAAATCATTTTCCCTTTTGCACGACGCCATATTGCTTTCAAAGCGTCTATTGATACAGCTGGGACCTACTTATTTACGGTCTCCGCAAAATCAACGGTCTCTGCCGGTCTTTAAAGACCGTCGACCTGAGTAGACAAATCGACGGTCTCGTGGCTTAGTCGGTCATTGGAGACCAGGGACCGTCAAAGACCGGAGACCGTTGATTAGTTAGCATTGATTCGGGAATATTCGGATAGCAAGCATATCGATATATTTTGTCCAAAACAACGAGTGTACGACAGATAAATTTTGCGGTGATGAAAATGACAATGCGCACGGGTTTTTAAGACGATTGCGTATTTTTTTTTTTTTAATGGGTTTTGATACGCATTCTTAAAAAATCAATTGCGTATTTTCTAAAATTAATTGCGCAAATATGCACCTTATCTGTTGCTCTGCAACTGCTAATTTCGCAGACTGGTCTATGATTCTGACCATATGTCCTCTCCTTATAAAGCTAATGAAGGTTATTTGAAAATACTCCACAACTTTTTTATTGTGAATTAATTTAATATTGTAAATTGTGTGACAAATCATGTTAACCGATGATGAAAAACAAACACTCATGCTTCCTCGTCTGAAAGTATTGTTGAGAATTTGTTTTAACTTTTCTGATGGTTAAACTATAAAACTATAAACTAAAATGATTCAAAAAACTTTCAGCTGGAAAAATATTGAACTCAAGATATTTTATTTTCAAGGAGTTCAGAAATTTTTAATTGAAAGCTATGAATTGTTACCATGTCAGTTACGTAAATGAGTCTGCATTAGAAAATGTATAAATTAGTTGTATTTAATTTTTTGCTTTTTGTGTATACAGACAAAATAGAAAAATGTATATACAGACAAAAATAGAAGAAACTTGTAACTTTCATTTGCTGCAAGATCTGAATATATGGTTATAATAACTTTCATACCTAATTTATGAGGGAAGTTTTGTCTTCACTGGTAAAATTTCTATTCTGTCACTAAGATTTTTGGCGAAGACTTTGGCGTTTCACTGAATTAATACTTTTGTTAAAGTAGTGCTACAAGAAAAAGCATTGAGAAAAGTGATAGTTTGTAGCCACTTGAAAATTGATAAATACTTGAAAATTGATAATGTATTTATTCCATCTAGATGAGCCATGTTTTGTTAACATGAAACTGTAGACACTTATGTTACAGTTGATCTGCTGGGCTTTCTAATTGAGTTAACCAATGATGAAAAACAAACAACTCATGCTTCCTCGTCTGAAAGTAGTGTTGAGATTTGTTTTTACTCTTCTGATGGTTGACTGTATGTTTTAGATAAATTTCGAATGAGAGCCCTGAAACCCTTGGATAAATTTCGAATGAGAGCCCTGAAACCCTTGTAGCAAAGCTATTCTTGCATATCAGACAGGGTTATCTACCGTTTACACCTGTGCTAGAAAACTATCTTACACCCCCCATGTAAGACAAGTCTCGTGCTTTAAATGACATCATTGCCGCGAGCAACTTATGAATGAATTGCCTTCTTAGGTTGACGTCACTAAACAGTTATGAATGAAGTTGTAAGTTCATACACTACTATAAGAAAAAAGTGCATAATGAGAATATCCGTTTTCATAATTTCTGTTCTGAAAATAATTGATATATAGTATGCAAGAAAAAGAAACAAACACCGGCTGTCGGTACAGACCGGAATATCTAGCTCTCGGCAGAGCCTCGTTACCGCCGTAAACAGTTGCCCTCAAGCTAGATATTCTGCTCTGTACTGGCAGCCAGTGTAAGATTCTTGTATGATATTCTTGTTTGGGGAACTTTCTGTTAGTTAACTGCACTGAAAGGCATACCCATTTATTGGCTCATTTTGTCTGGGGTTTACTTACTGTGATGGCATAGAAAAGGAAAGCGATAGAAATATATTAAAATGCTTGTTCATTGTTATAAAGGGAGACACAGGCAAAATGTTCATTTCTTAGTTTTGAATTTTTCATTCATTATTCTGGAAATGCCCTCAAAATGAATATATTATAGACAGACAAAGGAACGAAACTTTTCTCCATATAAAGAATAAAATGGTGGTTTCCTAACTTGACCCGCATGGGTCAGGTTAGAGCGCTAGCATTTCACATTAGTTGTCAAAGTGAACTCTAGAAACGTTAAAGAACATGTCAAATGAATGACTTGGGCTTGTTTCAATCAACAATATCCACAATATCTGTTATTGTAACTTCAAGGGTTTGTTCTAGTCACCTGACTTGTTTTAAAACTATTTTGTGATTCTATTGGTGTCTAAATTTTGTTCAACATATATAGCTATATTTACGCTTCAAACCCAAAATATATAGAATTTAAACAGAAATTCTTGCTGAAACTTAATGCTAAGTCATTTTTTTGGGTGATTTGAGTACATAAGATAATTTTATAATTTTAATATTTTATATTTTTGTCATTATTTTGCCTGAATATCCCTTTAATTCTTTTTTCAGGGATTTCATACTGTGACAACAGGGAACATGTTTTTATTTTTGCCTATAACCCGGCAGTCTTTTTTATACCCCCCCTCGTACAAATCAGATAGCCTTGTGTTTCGATGCTCTTCCTATTACTGGTCTAATACCACATCTATTTGATGTTATAACAGTTGATTTAAAGGAATGTTTAACATTTGTATTTTCAGGATTATGGAAAAGAATCACAGGCCCTTGATGTTCTCAATGACTACTTCAAGAGCAAGAAATAGAGATAAAAGAAAACGTAAAAAAGAGAAAAAAGTAAAGAAAAAACCTGTAAAATTGTAAAATAAAAGTGCAGTTTTGAGGCAAACATCTGGTGTTTTTTGTTATTATTAGCTTGACTATTTAAGAATATGTAGAGCTATTGTAGTCACCCGAGCGTCGGCTTAACCGCTTAATGACTTCTGTAAAGTTTTTGTAATACCTCATAAATTTGTAAAGTCCATTGACATATGGCTTTGAAACTCACCATCATGACCCCCAACCAGTAGACAGGAGGAGGAAACTATGTGAAGCATTTTGACAGAATTATGCCCCTTTTCAACTTGTAGTTGATGTTCATTTTTGTAATATCTCAAATATTTTCATTCAAAGTCCATTGACATATGGTTTTGAAACTTTGCACACTTGTCCCAACCTGTAGACAGTAGGAGGAAACTGTGTGAAGTATTTTGACAGAATTATGCCCCTTTTCAACTTCTAATTGATGTTAGTTTTTGTAATATGTCAAATATTTTCAAAGTCCATTGACATATGGCTTTGAAACTTTGCACACTTGTTCATCATGACCCCAACCTGTAGACAGGAGTTAACTGTATCAAGCATTTTGACAGAATTATGCCCCTTTTCAACTTGATAATTTACATATAAGTTAGCATACATACCACCTCGGATATTTTCATATTCTATTGACATCTGGCTTTGAAACAAGTTGAAATTGTATACTCTTCTTTGAGAGCATAATAGGACTCTCTCCAAGAAATTTTTAAGAAAAAATAGAGAATTTTACATTATCAAGGCTCTTTTACTATCAACACACTAAGATAACAAACTATGATATTTTATACACCAAGAACAATAGATCAGGAGGGCAATGAGCATATCACTTAAAATATGCCTATTTGTCAGATTTTTTGAGAACTTTTTTTTTAACCATAACTTTAATAACCTTTTATTTTGACCAACATTTTTTTTTAGGTAAGATCTACAAACCAGACTACTTGGGAGTTCTTGGGGTCAAGTCTCACTAGCCAGTGCCCCTGCTAGGTACATTCGAACATGGTACCTGCTTCTTTCGTTAATGAGTTTATAATTGGACCATGAATAATATATTGGCTTTTTCCTATAGCAATTTGCCATTCAGTGGCTCAGTTAGTAGCCGCTCACTTGCTCACAATTGGTAATAACTGGTTACTTGTCTAGGCAAAGTGGACGGACGAATGAGATGTCTAGGTTGTCTTTAACCCAAACACACTTGTAACAAAAGTGGACTCTTCTAGAGGCAAAAATGAAAGCTTTTAAGTTTCAAACTACAAGGCCCAGAGTTAAAATATTGGCATTGCCATGTGGACCTCTACAGAAGAAGAAAAATCACGCCTCTGTGATCCTCAATGACACACCCTTGCATTCGCTTTGGTTATATTATATAGGCTTGTTTTTAAAATCTGCGACACATTTTCATTGCACAAATGATAGGTCTTCTACAATTAAAAGTTGGCCCCGCCCCGGAGGTCACTTCGTTTATGTAGGTTTGGTAGTATACAATGCCTAGAGCTTGGATATTTAGTATGATGCATTACTTTGTGGAAGTTTTAAAAAAAGCAATCATATTGAGTTGAAAAATGACCATGCTCTGTGAATTACTTAATTTATATAGGACATTGAAATATTAAAGATCCTTGGGGTATTGTATAGTCTTGTTTTGAAAAAATATGCTTTTTGCATGTGGCATCACCTTGTTGTCCTCAAGATAAGACACAAATCATCCCTTGGGTCATAAATATGACCCAGCTATGGGGGTTCATTACACTGCTCACACATAAAGCAAAGACTATTTATTTGACCTTAATGTTTTTCATACAGAACCTCTTAATCATTGGTTCGGTATTTTAAAATTACCCCACAAATATGGAAAGCTCAACACCATAGGACAAAGTCTTTACTTTCAGCAAATGGGAAACGTGAAGATAAAATTTGCTATATGGTAAACCAATAATCTCCAACTATCCGGAGTCTTTCTATGGCCCGGAACTTTTTATCTAATTAAAAGACCTTAAATTTGTTTGGCATGTTGAGTAGCAAGTGGAAAAATTCGTTCGCCGTTGCCGAATTCAGTAATACACCATGAAGAACAAGTGGTATATCTACGTACATCTAATGTCACTGCCTGATAAAATAAGGCAGCACAATTGTTCAGCTAAACCATGTAAAACAAAACAAATGCTACAGTACTAGTATTTATGAATGTAGATAATTTATTACATGTAAACACCAGCTTCGTCACGTTTATATATCTCATACCGGACACTCCGTTGGTCGAATTAAAATGTCGTGAACCTGAAAACAGAATAGATTTTCACGTGATGCAAAAATTAAAAACACGAGGGGTCGACTTAATGTAATTCATAGTCGTAGGGACAAGAAAAACTATAAAAATTCATGTCGTTAATTTACAATATAAATTGCACATACACATTAAATATAAAAAATTTGACAGGTTATGATACGAGCCGCTAGGTGAGGGTCATATTTCAAATAACCGTTTACATTTGTCAAAAATCTTTATAACGAATTCATAATTGTTATTTGGGTAAAAATGTAAATAACTTAATAATTTGACAGCATTCGTGTCACGATTATCAGTTACAAATAAATAAACGTTTTTTCCCGCTACATGTATACTAAACATTTTTACCGTGCAGCTAAAGCAATCAATTTTCTGGAATGGCAACATTTGATCTGTGAACATTGCTTGTTTGATGACAGTCTTCAATTGCTAGCCTACTAAATAATGTTAAGTGAAATGGTCAAAGACTGGACCATGAACGGCAAAATTATAAATAAATATTGCAGGCTTGGTTTAAACTGGGTCTGTTCACAGGCAGCAGTGGAAACGCAAACCACATGTCAATGCTCCTGCACGAACTTAAGCAGAATTCGTACCATTCTATGAAGAGCGGCGTACGGTCCCAAAATAAAAGTTTGCACTAAATGTGTTAACAATTGGCGGAGCTAAATAGAATGAAGTAAATGAAAGGGGATCGGAGATGGTGAATTCTGTATATCAGTATTTAAAAACCAGCCAACATGGCTCCATTTCAAGGTGTCCGCTGTACAGAATCACTGACTTACCTGAACATGAGAAGGTGCTGCTAATGCATAAATGACGCTATCGGTGACGTCATCGGCGGTAAGTGGCTGAAATACATGATGATTGCTTCGTAGTGTAGTGATAATTACCTTTTTGCATGAATTAAATTAAGTCTAAATAAAAAACGAAGTCAGATAAACATAATTATACCATATAGTAATTACAAGTACAAAATGTATGTTTAGATATAAAACAATGAGTGAAAACGGTTTTCTATTTTCAGTACGTATTCAGCATCTGTTTTTTTGTAAAGTTGATTCATATTTAAGAGCTGTTTTGCTTTAGATATATTACAAAAGAACTGCATGGGAATATCCAATTTATTTAAAATCATATTCAAGATGCAACTATGTTATAAACAAGTTAAGACAGTAGTTCAATAAATCACTCTTGAACCCCTATGATGTTCCTTTTGTTTCCATTTGATTTTGAATCAGCAATTTAAGTAGTTCTACAGATAATGTTAAAACCGAAACACTTTGAGAAACCATTTATATTAGGTACATGGGCATGTTTGTAATAAACTACATGATTATCATTACAAACCTTTATTTGAGCTCCTAATAGCATTACACATTTTTAGAACACCATATACACACCGTATTACCGGCCGCCCAGTGATGGCAGATCACTGCAGTGATTGCAGATACCTGAATTTACCGCTCGGTACAGGTAGATTATAAATTTGGTTGGTATTATTATATTACACAAATACGGCCAATTTCATTGCTATGAAACTATTTTCCATTGACTGTAGTGCTATTAGGTCATTTTGGACTCGTTTTTTCCTGTTTGTAGACTACTAATTTGAGCAGGTTAAAAGTGACAGCTTCGGAAAAATCCGTGAAAATGTCTGTTTTTGTTCAAAATATCTCAAGTTTTAACTAAATGGCAGAGTGAAGGTGTTTCACAATTTTACCATGCGAAAGGATGGTCATGAGTTTATCTTATACATGACAATGCCTCCTCTCCCAAAAGCGAGTGATAAAGTTGTAAACCATTCACCTTATTCTCCTGACTTCTTTTTTTTGTTTCCCAAGCTTAAGAAAATACTTTACTTTCTGGTAAAAGAGGTTCTGGAGGTCCCTTGGCAGATTCCAAAAAATATTATTTTACAGTTTTAAGAAACTGGACTGAGAAATTACAAAAACGCTTTTCACTTTGAATGTTCGAAATAGAAATCATTTTTATAAAAAAAAGTGAGCCCAGTGACAGAATCCAGTGAATGACCCTCGTACGAGCGTAGTTTCCTAGTTCAAGTACTTATATCTGAGTTATCACAATACTTATCTAGTATAAATTACCTGATAAACCGAGTAGGCTTTGTCTGCAAATCCTGGTTGATCTGAAAATATTCTACTCAAAAATTCTGTCTTAGCCATTCCTGGGCTTATTGCCTGAAATTAATCACCAACATAAATAAACCATTTAATACTGAAATACAAAATGTAGAAGAAAAAGCTCCAATTCTTTGGAAGCTACATATGAATCTTCATACTCAAGATCTGTTTTGATTACCTTGGCTACAAAAAACAAAAAGGCCTGCTAACAGGGGGATTTGTTATCCTCGACTTACTGGTTTGATCCCTGGGCGAGGTTTGATTTCTCCATGCACATAGAGTCTTATGGTCACTGGTCTTTAATTGTTGATTCAGAAATCATTTGGGATAAATAGTCGATCTCTTGTGAAGCAATTACTGGTTAGTCATAAGGTCTACAACTGCAGAGATACGACCAAAGTCTGTTAAAATGGGGTAAAAAACAACCAACCAAACAGCATAACTTGTTCAAATGAGTAAGTGTTTACCACGTTTTCAATTATTATTAAGACTTAAACAATTGTTCTAACAATAAATATGTACTCAGCAGCCTTACAAGATTTTTTTTCAACATAAGTTTTTTAAGTTTATTTATAAAATGAAAATATAACAAGAGGGCCAAGATGTCCCTAGATCGCTCACCTCACCCATCGAACTCATCCGAGCTATTACCTAGACACACATTTCATGACAGGTGAGTCAAAAATGTGACCACTAGTGTTAACAAGGATTTTCTATATTTAAGCAGTTTGACCTAGTTTTTGACCCCGGGTGAACCATATTCGAACTTGACCTAGAAATCATCAAAACAAAATTTCAGACCAATTTTTAGGATATTTGGATCAAAACAGTAGCCACTAGAGTGACCAAGATTGATGACAATTGAGTCAAAAATGTGACCATTGGAGTGTTAACAAGGTTTTTCTATTTCTAGCTCCTGTGACCTAGTTCATTCGAGCTATTACATAGACAAGCATTCTGACAAAGTTTTAATGGTGATTGAAGCAAAAATGTGACCGCTGAAGTGTTAACGAACAAGTGTGGACGGACGACACACGACGGACGACGGACAATCAACGATCCTTAAAGTTCACCCTGAGCTAGCTCAGGTGAGCTAAAAAGTTAATTTAACTTTTATAAAAACCGTTTAAACAAATTATGAGAAAACATGACATACCGTTACTCGTATATGACTTTTCAATGCACATACTTCATTACGAAGACCCTCAGTTAGTGCTTTTACGGCGAACTTAGTGGCAGCATAGAAATGTGCGTGCGGAGCATTCGGGGTCACTCCGTGACCGGCCATACTGTAGTATGTAAAAATGTAAATGATCATAAAATATCTTTAAAAACGCATATACTTTCAAAGTTGAGACCAAATTGTTTTACCTTTCAAAATTTTTACTAACAAAATACGATTGCGCGGCAATTCTTCTTAAGTAAGTTTATTAGAAGATGACTGAATTTGACCATAACGATTTTTTATTTAAGCTGAAGTTACATATTTTTATCATGAGATGAATGAAATGGAAAAGGCTGCAGGCTGTCAACTATCCAATACACTATACACTATACTGTATATTGATATTGATACAGTTGAAAAGCATAGTCATAACCTTTTAGATTTTAGCTCAGGTGTCTGCCACTTTAATGAAATCAACAACTGTGTATTCTTCTTTGATTAGAGGGAGAAAAACAAATTTCACTCTTGCTTTTTAATTTCACCTCATCGGAGTCTAGCTGATAATGGTTCAATACACAATTTCTATCTTGAAATGTAATATGCCTAAATCACAGACACACACATACCTGCTCATAAGAACAATATGGCCGTCATCTACACCACGTTCTCGCATAGATGTAACCGCCTCTCTGGTACAAATACAAAGCCCTAATACGTTTATCTTAAAACAAATCAATTAAAGTAAATATATCACACAATGTTATTTTGATTGCATATTGAGGAACACAAACATTAGAACGGTCACATGATATCATCTTCAACCTTTATAGCTCATGGAAAACTTCAGTGACTTCTATTTAATCATTTCAGACGTTCGTCATTTCACTCTTTGATTATCAAAGTCCCAGTAAAAGCTGGACAGACAAGCCTTAAAATCCCTGCTAAATGCCAATAGCTGGGGTTATTAACTTATTTTATTTTATATTTTAATATCCCTTCGTGACACTTACAGACATATAATGAGAGAAAAAAACGTCTTAGTTACGGATTATATTAAACTTATAAATATAAGTGCAAGTTCAACTTACACAGGCTTCTTTTAGCGAAATGATGGTTGTTCTTTAACACTGCGACCTCCTTTGAAATTGGATATAAGGTTAAAACTTACATCTAGCATATGTCTCCACTGTTCTGTTGTTCCAGACAATAACGGTGCGTTATATGAAAGACCAGCGTTATTAATACACACATCTACTCCGCCCAGATCTTTCTTGATCTTTTCAAACATGGCCAGAATTTCTTCCTCTTTAGATATGTCACATCTTATTGCAGTCAAAGATCCCTTCGAGTCTTTTAAACTTTCTGATAAGCTCTGTAAGGATTATATAAAATTAATAACATAAATGGAGATGTAAAGAACTAGATTAAAATGCGACGAAGAAATGATTTAAACTATAGATCATATAATTAAACTGCATGTATAAATTTATATTATAATATTTTTCATTGAAAAACATAATCCAATTGTTATTTTGTCTAATAGTGTATAACGTTGAGAAAAAGCAAATATATAATTATTATATAAAATACGAAATGGATTACACTAATATAAGTTTCTTATAGCTTATTTTGTCAGGTAGATCTAGTTAACGTTTTAAGTTTACCGCCCTCGTTATACCAGTTTGACCCATATCGGGACATTTATGCTAACGCAACGTAAATAAAACGTTACTGACCTGTATTTTTTCAATGTTTCTAGCACATCCAACTACTTTCATTCCGTGTTCAACCAAGCGTTTGGCAATTGATTCTCCAAAGCCAGCCGAAGCACCGGTTACAAGTGCAACACGTCCAACCCATTTTTCCATTTTATGACGTTTATAAAATATCTAAAAGTAACTGACATACAAACTCAGAGTTGTTTAAATATCTATCGCTGTTAAGTCGCTGAAGTGAGACGCCCATACACTATACACAGTTGAACTAAAAGTTGGACATTGCAGTTTGAGTGCAAACTGAATTAAGGGTAGGCAACTCTAACTGCAGATGTGAATGTGTTTTGCGGAATATTGCTACAATTCTAACAATTTTAATAAATTGTCAGTTTTAAATGCAGATTAGAACTCAATTATAAAGTAAATTAAAGAACTATATTTAAACCTGATAGCAAAATGCATGGTTGATTGTTATAGAAACTAATCAGTAAACAGTCAATTTTATCCTTTGTCAAAATGCATTTTCTTTTTAAGTGCATCGTAATGTAGAAATGTCAAAGATTATTTTAATTGTATATATAAGTTGCACTTTTGGAAACAAAACAGTATTATTCTGATATACAATACACATTTATCAGCAATAAACAAAACTGCACTTGTTTAGAAAAATGAAATAAATAATTAAACGAAACGCTGAAACAGAATTGACAATAAGATATATCGAACTATTAAACAAGAAGTATCTTTAAAAAGATACTCGGCCGAAGTAAAGCTGGGTAACTTGCATATGTTAGTTCTTATAGTTTTTTTCATGCAAAGTCATATAAAAATGTTAGCATAGCTTTCATAACAATTACGTAATAATTTCTTGTAGGGATATTAATCTTGAAAAATGGAACACTTTAAGATGTATGTGTTTCTAAACCAATCTGTCACGTTTCAGTAATCGGACTTAATTTCTAACACCTTCATCTACGCAGTCAATTAAGGCAATTATTTCTATAAATACCTGATAATTATGCAAAAATATATATAGACCTTAATTTTACAATACGGTTCTTCAATAGTAACCGATGTTGAATTTCGCGCATGCGCATTCTGCGTAGGGCAAAAGCGCAGTAAAATTGAGAACATTGTATGATACTTTAAGGCTTTAATAGCCGTGATTCCATGTTATGTCAACCAGAAACAGTAAGTTTGGGATGACTTAAAGCGGTATGTACTTAAAACGTTAATTGATATTTATAACAGATCTAATAAATATGCGGGACTAATAATCCAATGGTCAAAAGGCGCACACACAAGTCGTCTGTTTAAGGTATCATTAGACGACTTTTTCATCTGTTATTAAAATTAAAACAGCAGCGTGTTAAAGATTAAATTTTATTACCCCTGTATTACATAATATTACACAATGTGTATTGTACACTTCCTTTTGGATTGGTCAAACAGATAGACACGCGACGCGGTTGTTTGTTTCCAGCTATAATATCATTCAACCGGAACGTTTCAGTACCATGACATAGTTAATCACGTGCAATTATGAAATTGTAATTTAAGTAACTTTTATATATACCGATCTCATCAATGTTTATTGATTTTGAGAAGTGACAATTAGTGTGACTTGCATTAAAAATATTAACAGGTGTTACGAGGAACAGGATAAAATGTGTGTTATTTCACTTTCCTTAAAGATTTTGATTTTTTTAAATATTTAAAATATATTTATGTGACTTAAAAATTATCTGCTTTGCATCTAAGTCAAATAAAAGATAAAATCATGTAAACTGAACACTAAAAATGCATTATCACCGTTCCTGTTCTGACTTTTTTCAGAATGATAACTAACCTTGATTTCATATGTTATAAAATTTCTTTTATCTTTTTATGAACTATTTCAACAACAATTTAGTTGACTCCCATTTGAATAATAGATATAATTCCACATTTTCTTAAAAAAATCTCAATGTCAGGTCCGTGACCGTAAGGGGAAATTCTTAAACAATTTCCTTTTCCATGCCTTTGTATCGCAATCTTGGCCACAAAGCTATAAAGGAATCTTTTCTATTTTTGTTAAAAGATAATTTATATAATTTTCTGCCTCTTACCTTAAACTAATTCGGAATTGTCTATGAACTTCTTCTATATTTCTATATTATTCTATGCGCTTTTTGCCCTACACAGATTGCGCATTCGCGGGAAAATACTACTTCCGATCGATTTTTCATAGCAACGGGCCACGTCGTAAAAAGGTATATATAAAATATAAACATTATATCGATTGAACACAACAATAATCATACAATATATGACATTTGTATCATAGTTTGGAGACCTTTCTGTTGAAAATGTGTCAGGGTTAAATCGTATACATATATATGCACATGCAGTGCGTTAACTGGAGTGCGGGTATTAGTTACCCGCACTCCAGAGCATGCCCATTGATTGGCTCATTTTTGCTGGGGTTTACATATTGTGACGGAAGAGAAAGGGAAAGCGACAGAAATATCATATTCAGATGTTCGTTCATTGGTTCATTTTTGCCGGGGTTTCATATTGTGACAACAGGGAACGTGTTTTTATGTTTGACTATGATACAAAAGAGAAAGAACACCAAAACACTCGGCAATCTGATTAATACTCGGGGGCTACGCCCCCTCGTACAAATCAGATAGCCTCGTGTTTCGATGCTCTTTCTATTACGTATTGAACTTAATATGGTATGGATACCTGATAAGTTATGATATTATTCTCATTATTTTGGACAAAATTTAAAACTCAAATCTTGTGTAAAATATATAAACTCAATAAATTTTTATGTAAAATAAACTGTTCACTAGAAATTGAAATGCGATTTGAATTGCAAGAAATATTGTTAAACACAATTCAAATATCTGAGAAATGTATCTAGAAAGTTAAAGATCTGTCCTGTATGTTAAGTTTTAGAAGTATCCTTTACATTTTATTTCATAATGGCGAGAATTATAGTTATTGAATCCTAGATTTCGTTTTCAATGAAAACCCTTCTTAGTTTCGGTAATTCCCTGTAAATTTTTCAGGAAGTCAAACTGCAAAAGACCGGCCTTCGGCCAGTAAGTAACTTAATTGCTCGTAATCACTATGCTTGTTTGTTTTGATAATTTTTGTTCGTTTGTTTATGTTTTTACTTTTAACCTGTTGAGTACCCTGTTTAATTAAAATAGAGTTAAGATGCCTGTCTACGCACCGGTGGTCTACGACACAATCTTATTTCTCGTGGTATTGTCGCCTATAATTTCAATACCATGATCAGAGATAATTGACAGATTATCTTTATCTCTGATATGATATACCAGTTCATATAGCTGAGCTTAATTTCTTTCAAATGATTCAAATGGCAAACAATGAGTATGTTTTCAGATACAGTTTTCAACTGTTAGTTAATGATGCTAATTTCAGATTGACATAAACAATATAAAACAAAATACATCTCCGAATTTAAGATTTGTGGACTTTGAGAGGATAGGGTTGTGTTGTAATAAGTTTTCGTGTTTGTTAAGTTGAACATGTCAGATATAAAGAGAATCAGAAGTTTGCCAGATAGTTACATTTATGTTACCTATGATTATAGAATTGTCAATTTGATTTCGAAATAATTGACATATAAAAACAACCAAAAAATTGAATAAACAAATTTCTGTCAAAACAGTAATAACTAATAAACACAATGATCTGATAGCATGCATATTTAATATAAGTCCTCCGATTCAATAAATTTCTTCTACAGATCCCTGTCAAATTGGCAGTCTTGTCGTATCTCCAACCACCACCAACCAACGAAGAATAGGTCAAGGACTTCGACTTCTACAGTTAAGTGGAACGGCATGGACGCTGATAATCTCGGGCATATGGTTAAGTCCGAGCATGAATAAAACCACGCACACACACACACACACGCGCGCGCGCTCGCACGCACGCACACAATAATTACGGATCGAAAGAAAATATAAAGGAAAACTGTTTACAATATATTATCATCATTAAATTCACGTATTTTACTTACCTTAAAGGCCTATTATGTCCTTAAAATACATTAATTTCTTTTTTAAAAAAAAACTTTTTATTTTTCGTACCATGTTATAGTTTCAAAAACGATATTCATTAGCCAATTATCTCAACCATATTTTCCTTCAGTTTCTTGATTGCATTATAGTATAGTTATAATGATTAAGTATTTTGTATGGAAGTCAAAATACTACTTTGTTTAGACTTTGCTATTTGGATGATCAATAATTTCACATTATTATTGGAACTGGCTGTTGTAGAGAGATGACTGTTGATGAGAGGTGAACGTTAGGGAAGATTGCACTGTACTTTTTTACGCAGAACAAAAGGTATTAAGTATTATGTAACAGCTGCCAAATTTTTTTTCTGGTCCATTTGAATCATTGATACTATATTGGCAATTCTGAAACTGAAAGTATTTTTACAGAAAAAGATGGTGCTAGAGGGTGTTAGAGATATTGCAGTTTTCATTCCCTACCATGAACTCAATCAAACAGAGTTGGTTGTATTTTTCTCGAGCGATCACCTCTTCACACTACTAGTATTTGTATTTCTGATATTGGCAAGAAGAGTGATCAAAACAAGGCATTTTAGAATGTGTTCACAAATAAGAATGCATTTTATCACATACCAGTCTCGATTTTGCGGCTCAGTAAAAACGGTACTGCACGGACATGCATATATTTTAACTGACGTCATTTGCGTTATGCAAACAAAGTGTAGACAAGCGCTTGATGTTAGCGTTATACTATAGGCCCATCAATGAAAAATGACTCTTTTTCACTTTAAACGGCCTTTATTTTGGGTATGTGATAAATAGAATATTGAATTCGTTTAAAGTTCATTACTGAATTTACTGAACTTGTTGAATAAAATAATATTGTGCTCGCCAGAGGCTCGCATAATATGATTTTATTCAACTCCCGCAATAAATTCAGTATCGTTTCATTCAGTATTGAACTTACACTCATTCAATATCATCTATATACTACATGTATACTTATTGTCCAACACGGTTCACAATTTTTGCAGACAATCTACATAAATGAATATTTGCTACATTATTTCTCTTCCTGACTTTAAGTGAGCTAGAGTAGCAAAGCAGGGCATCTTGAATTCTATTTTCCATTTCCATGCACTGCCCCAATAGATTCAGTGCTGTTTCTTTGTGCACAAGGACCGCACTTTCTGTCTCTATGATTCTCATAAGGTTATTTAGTGCTTCTTGTTGATCGGCATGTCTCTGTAGTCGGCCATAAGTCTTGTATTTCAGAAAATAGAGGTAAGGGGAAGAATCTACTACTGCCCAATCCATCCAATAGTCTTCACTCTTCTTTCTTTGTAACAAGTCTTCCCTAGTTGATCTGAACATTTCATATTGTAGTTCACGAGGAATGCAGTTTATTTCAGCAGGTGTAAACTTGACACAAAATGCTGTATTTTCTCTAACACCACTTGCTATATCTTTAAAATATGTAACTTCTAAAAACTCTCTTTTAACTTCACAAGAAAGAGAAGTGTAACAGCCGCAAGATGGTTGAACATCATAAAAGTCGTACTTTCTTGTAGTTTCTCGTAGAATAATTTCTGTTCTTACCATATCTCCCATACAATAAAAAACAGATGCTAATTTCAGACTTCCTGCAGAAACATCAGAATTTACACCGCAATATAACCAGTCAAATGCTTCAGATGATACTCCATTGTTTGATTGAAGATCTAAAGATGCTATAATGGTTCCCAAACATGAACATATGGAAGGTACCAGAACGCTAACTGCTAATTGTTCTAATGTATTGCCCTCTCTGTAGACTGCTGTATAATTTTGAAGATATCGGAGTAAAATCTGCCGTATTGTTGCTGGTGAGTTATTCAAAGACTTCATCAAAACAATATTATGCATTTGATTGATATTTTGAGGTGTAAGCAGTATTTGAGAAGACACATTTTTTACTAATATTTCATAATGTGTAGCATAAGAAGGCTGGGCAAGATGACGTAACATGTTCAGTTTGGTCTGGAGTCTTGTACCAAGGTCATCCAGCCGTATCCCAAACAATGCATGTCCATTACTCTGCAATATATCACTTAGTTTGTCTAGCAGTTTACGTTTGACTACAATGGAAAGTTTTCCTGCCATCAGATTGTTTCCAGGTATAATGAAATGTGGACAATTACTATCTATTAAACTAGTGTACAATCTATGTAAACAGTATGATAGACATTTCAATAAATTGAAATTCTTCCATAGATTGTGTTCCGTATTTTCTATACAATACAGGAGAACTGTTTTACACATGAAGCTTGAGAGATGGCTTTCACCTTGTAAGTTGATATACGTTTTAAGTATCATTTTCATCAATATATAACATCTTATTTGTGTGATATTTAAACTATACATCAAACTTCGTTCAGCTAACGAAGTGGAAATTCTCCACTCGAGTGTCTCGCTGTGACCGAGCTTACTTGCGACTGGAACAACAAAGCACCCGTTTTTCTCTGCAAATCTCTTTATTTCTGATGTTGGCCAGACATTCGAATCACCTCTATGTAACCATTGTCTAGCTTCTTTTGGCCAAGATTTACAATGGTAGGCTAGAACAAGGTCTGAATCTCTGACAACGCCTGCCCCTTGTTTTACCCAGGCTGGACCATGTTTAAATGAGTCAGGTACATGTGTCACAGTATTTTTTACCAATACTGTGTCGCTAGAAACTTTAACACAGTGTTCATTTTCGACACGTGTATAAGGCACAGGTACATCATTTCTGAGCACTTGAAGAAAACAATAGCCCGGAGATGTATTCTCATTTTGAATCATCAGTAGATTTGTTAAGCCAGGTTGCCACTCAGTATAGTCTTGTATGACATTCCAATCATTATCACTACATAAAGAATCCGAGTCAGAATGGATTCCTACTGTTGTTGTTCCCTCTGAGAGACTTCCAAACATGTATTTTGACTTCCTTAAAACACTGTTGTATGCTATAGTTTCCATTGTTTCAGACAGTAGCAGTGACTTTCTCCATTTCATAATCATTGTTTCATTTACTCCGATATCATCAAGAACTTCCGATAATTTCAACGATAAATCATGATAATGATCAGGAATGTGAAACATTCTGGAATAAAATAGAGCTTCAATTTTAAAAAGAGAATACTGACTTCAAAACTTTATAGCAGATAGAGTGATAAATTCTGTTATTTATGATCACAGGAACTTGAAATTCTATCAATATTAACGATAATATGCAAAATATACCCCCCATATTATATATTTAATTATAGTATATTGGGGTATATTTGGATATTATCATTAATATTGGTTATCTGATGAATTTCAAGTTCCTGTGTTTTTGATATAAAAGTGTAATTATAAAAAAAATTCTCAGTAAATATTGAAATATTCTATGTTAGACTGAAATTACTTGTGTACACTTTGAAGTAAACAATTAAAAATATATATATAAATGACCTTTAAAACTCTTATTTGCAATAAAAAATGAAAATTACTTACTTATTTGCAAAACAGTTTAACACTATTGAATCCAAAATTTCATTTAAAAGTGGGATAAAGTGTCACATGTCCTCAGGGAAATTTGATACAGAAAGTAGACCCACTGAAAACTGTAAGAGTCTCTTGTATGCTATTTCAGATTATTGTCCTTGTATTTGGTAAAACAAATTATATAATGAGTTATTGTCTTCCTGTTATTCATCAGGGCCATTTTGTTGTTATGCAGTAAGTAGAAATAATAATAAGTAGTAATAGTAAGTTGTAGTAGTAAAAGTAGCAGCCGTGGAAGAAGATGCAGCAGCGTAGTAAGTAGTAGTAGTAGTAGTAGTAGTAGTAGTAGCAGTAGCAGTAGCAGTAGCAGTAGCAGTAGCAGTAGCAGTAGCAGTAGCAGCAGCAGTAGCAGTAGCAGTAGCAGCAGCAGCAGCTTAGTAAGTAGTAGTAGTTAGTAGTAGTAGTAAGTAGTAGTAGTTAGTAGTAGTAGTAGTAGTAGCAGCAGTAGCAGAAGCAGTAGCAGCAGCAGCAGTAGTAGTAGTAAGAATTCACAGCAGAAGAAGGAGTAGCAGCAGCAGCAACAGAAGAAGAAGTAGTAATAGAAGTACGTCGCAGTAAGACTATTTAGTAGTATAAGAGTAAATAATGTTAGTATTTGTTTTAGAAGTAGTTGTAGTAACAGCAGCAGCAGCAGTAGTAGTAGAAGTGATAAAGATAGCAGCATATAGTAGCTGTATGTAGTTTTTAAAAGTGTAAAAAGCTGCCTGTAGTGAACAAACCAATAAACTTCGTTCTTGATGTAAATAGAAAATTGACCACACATTATTACATGTAATTATATTTCAAAAAGGCATTAATAAAGGTTATGTGTCTTTTTTTTTCTCGTGCATTAAAATCTGCAGAAAACCGAGGACGCATTTAAAGCCATTAGGGATGTTATATGCATTAGCGCTATTCATGCATAAATTCAGCAATGTCGCGTTTAGTAATATCATCATTATCTATAAAGAAATCATTTTGTCGTGTTTTCCACGTGCTAGTGTGACGCCATTTGACAGTTATGTTTTGATAATGATACTTACAAGCTTATAAGTACGGAAGAGCATTAGTGCCAGGTGTATGTTTTTTATTAACTCGAAATTTCGAGTTAGTAACTCGAAATTTCGAGATAGTTCGACTTACTAACTCGAAATTTCGAGTTACTTATCTCGAAATTTCGAGTAACTAACCCGAAATTTCGACTTACTATCTCGAAATTTCGACTTACTAACTCGAAATTTCGAGTTACTTATCTCGAAATTTCGACTTAGTAACTCGAAATTTCGACTTACTAACCCGAAATTTCGACTTATTTACTCGAAATTTCGACATACTAACTCGAAATTTCGAGTTACTTATCTCGAAATTTCGACTTAGTAACTCGAAATTTCGATTTAGTAACTCGAAATTTCGACTTAGTAACTCGAAATTTCGACTTATTAACATTACAAGAATGGTAAAGTTATTAGTTAGATGATATAAGATATCGTAGGGAGTGCCGTTGAACGATGGAGATGGAAGAACGGGTGCCTGGACAAAAACTTTTGAAATGAAACTTAAACTTAGTAATGGCATGTACACATCCGACCTAAAAAAACACAAGGCTTCCTTTAATTTGTACGTTCAGGCGTTCTTCACACGTTTTATCTGTTCGAACATATCTTTTCGCTAATCATATTCTTCTCATCCCTGTGAATAAAACGCTCCTATACTTCACGTGTGGGACATCTGAGGAAAGTATCGCGGCGTGGCCAAAATAGGGCGTGCTGAGGCCTTTGTCAAAATTGTTGGACTGACTATATTTCTTGTAAAATCGGATGCTTTTATATTATTCCAATCATATATATAACAACAAGCTCCACTTTTATCAACTTTTATCAACACAATATGAATCAAAGTATTAGTAAATAATGAATAATGTTACAAAAACATTATTAGTATAAAGAAACGTGACAGACTAACTGGCGTATACACGCCATTTAAAACTTATTTAACACATGATATTGCACAGTTTACAATAGGGTAGGTTTTGGACTTGTTGTTTCTCCACATGATGGTTGTATGTGTGCTTAAGAAAAAGAAACATCCGGTTAACACGGAAATGTGGAAAGTGTGATTTTACACCCCCGCCCCCTCCACAATAAGCGAAACATATGGACAATTTGACCCTATTAAATTGCTCTGTCAAATAAATGTTAAAGGTGCTCTTTCAATGTGCAACAGCTACACACTAAAGAAAGTATCTTGAATTCAATCCTTGCTTTCACCGGCAACCAATAAAAGTCGTGCAATGTTAGTCGAAATTTCGAGTTACTTAGTCGAAATTTCGAGTTACTTAGTCGAAATTTCGACTAACTAACCCGAAATTTCGACTTATTAACTCGAAATTTCGAGTTAGTATGTCGAAATTTCGAGTTAATAAGTCGAAATTTCGGGTTAGTAAGTCGAAATTTCGAGTGAGTAACTCGAAATTTCGAGATAAGTAACTCGAAATTTCGAGATAAGTAACTCGAAATTTCGAGTTAGTAAGTCGAAATTTCGAGTTATTAAGTCGAAATTTCGAGATAAGTAACTCGAAATTTCGAGTTAGTATGTCGAAATTTCGAGTTATTAAGTCGAAATTTCGGGTTAGTTAGTCGAAATTTCGAGTTAGTAACTCGAAATTTCGAGTTAATAAAAAACATACACTTGGCACTAATGCTCTTCCGTATATAAGCTATATTGAGTCACGCATAAAAAAATGCTATAAAGGCGCGCGGTTACGTGATGACCTGCTTGCGCAGATTTTATGCAAAAATATAAGTAGAACAATTTTACGACTACAAATTAACGGAACAGGGGTTAGTATCTCGAAGCTATCGTTAGCATAACGACTATCGTATACCTCTCGTTAAGGTTTTCACCGCTATCTCGACGCTCTCGTAATTAACGAATAATCGTTAACATGTCCAATTATTAACGGATGCCTAGAGGGTGTCGTAAGGCTCTCGTTACTATCATTTTGATACAAAAGTAAGAAAGGTGCGATTTTAAAGTACATAAAAAATGAGAATTATATCATTTTATTGATAAAAAATGATGAACCGACATAAATATAGTATTGTATTTCTTTTTCTCATGAATTTTCACAGGCCCGTAATAGATTTTATTGTGTAAATTCACTCAAAGAACTCTTTAATACAATTCCATAAAAAATATCATTGATTATTTGAAAGAGATAAACTTGTATTCTTGGATCTAATTGGCTCATTTTTATTGTCATTTACAAAGTTTTACATAACATTTTAAGCCTATTATAGCATTCGGCACGATATGGCCAGTTATGTGTTGACGACCCGTAAAAATCCAAACAAACAAAATTTTTCTCACATATCAAACATATGTAAACAGTAAAGGTTCTTTACAGTTTAATTTAAGACTTATATTTGAATGCGGATGAAAAAAAAACATATCATAACTTAAACAGCGAAAGGAATAATCTCCGTAATGTGTAATTTTGCACAAGAAAATATAAATAAATATATGCATACATCATGCTGAAAATTCAACAAAATTCAAACTTGTTACAGAATTATATTTCGAAAAGTAAACTGTGACGTTTTAATTACACCATGAAGAAAAGTGCGTTACGTCAGCTGCAAAAAACGGGTACCACAAAAAGGGATGTAATATATAGAAATGTTGTTTGTTTATCATTTCATAGTCAACAAATATTTCACTCGCGAACACCAGTTGTTATAATTTAACTCGTTATATTTTAATTTATTATACAGCAAACATCCTTTGTTTAAAACAAAATGAAAATTTATCCATATTAATTAACAGCAGCCATGTCAGGGGGTCGAACGTATAGCGGTGCGATACTCCTTTAAGCGAGGTGATTTTATGCGATACGCCCTAATGGCGGATTTACCTATGTAAACACACGTCAGAGTGAGTGTTTTTTATTAAGTATTTCATAAATCTTTGATTACAATTGCATATTTTGTATTGAGGATGTGAAGATAGGACCGACAGACATTTCATCAAAATTACAGAGGCCTAAATTCATAACTAAAAATGTTATTGAAGGTAAACTGACGGAAACTAATTTTGGGTCGGTGAATAAAATCGCTTAATGCAAGCTTATATTAATATAGTTAATTTCTTTTTCTTCTTTATTCTATAAGAGTAATCATAATTGAGTTGCATAGCAAGTACCTTTGTGCTCCGATATACATAGACGCTTACTGGTCAAAATATTTAAGTGTACGCTGAATTTTGGTGCGATAAAATAACTGTACGCTGTTAAAGGTTCGATATTTTTCATTATCACATCTGCTGTACATGTTTTCCTATGATTATACTAAAATATCTACCATATATTTGCCCATTTCCGGAATTCTGAAATCTTCTTCTTTCCTTAAAGATTTACTTGAAATAAAAGTTTTGTATAACCATCTATATAGGTGTTTGAATAATTAATAATAATTACCCTGTGATAATTAGGAGTTGGAAAGAAGTAACCTTTACTCTAAGATCTTAGATAAAAAGTAGGAATTTGACCAAAATATGTAAGAATGAATTTAAGAAACGAATTAAGAAATCTTGTATAAATTAACTCACTTTCAAAGCAGAACATTTCAGAAAAATAGCAGTTAATATGTGAAATAAGGGCTGTTTTACTTCATGAGGTTCTAAGATCGTTTGTACATGCTGCTGTCAAACTGATAGTTTTTTCATATTATAAATAGAATTGAACATTTCAAACAACCTATAAACTACATTGAAAGTACATTTCACTGCTGTTCTAGAGATAGAGACTGAGAACCAGGTGGTAAAAATCTTTAGGTGGTAAAATTCTTTTCTAAAATCTTGCTTAGAACAGGCTATTTTTGTAGTGCACATAATTGTGGCCTGTCAGGAAAAAACACAAAGCTACAATTTCAAAATTCAGTCTGTCATTGGACACCAAACAGCTCAGTGTCTTTCTTAGGAACAGCTGATGCTCACATGTGCAAATACACAGTTGTAAATGTTGCAGAGCAATTAAAACATTACA